CCCACACGATTCGACGCAATTATCAAATTTCTCTCCCCCGACAATTCTCTCTCTCTCTGACAACGCTCTGAATTACGTTCTGTCCCTCAATTTCGCGCAAAATTCACGCGAATTCGCGGGCATACTTCTTACACGTCGAGACTCATGGAAATTCACTTCCTCGGGGTGGAAACTTGGGCGAGAAACACGTCCGAGAAACCGAGAGCCGACGCTGTCCCGTCGTTCTCGAAGCGAGCGGACTCGCGGCGAACTATTTTCGTACGGCTTCCGTCGACGGGCAAATGAAATGACAGAGAGAGAAAGAGAAAGAGAAAGAGAAAGAGAAGAGAAGAGAAGAGAAACGTGGTGGAGCGTGCCAGCGAAGAGAGAGAGAGAGAGGGTGAAAAAGGGAGAAGAGGAAGGAGAGACGGCTAGGGTTATCGTTCCCATGAAAGCTCGAGAGCACGCTCTGATTTACTCTCCTGTCCAAATGGATCAGCTGATGGAACGAATCACCGCACCGTGGTCCTCTCGCTGCATAAACTTGCCCGTGCATTCTCTTGCACGTTTTCATCCACGTTCCTTCAGAAACACAACGATCAGCTGGTATCTCGTTGGCGAAACACCATCTGGTCTGTCTTTATACTCGTCTCGGTTCTTTGGTCGACGATTGTTCCGAATTGTTTGTTATTGTCGTTGGTTTCTCAATTTTTTTTACTCGTTTCTCTTTAGAAGTACAAAGCACGAGGAAACATAATGACGACGATGTTTGGACGGCAGTGTTTTCGATATTATTGTTTTTTTTTTTTTTTTTTTAGCTACAATCTGTGAATCCTATAAACGAGTAATATAATCCTAGAATTCTAAAGATAATTTTAAAATGAATTTTAAACATCCATTCTGACATCCTACAATTCGCAAATTCACGAATCAATGAATCCCAAGATCCCTGGAGTCTAATTGTAACCATCGTGTATTCATACTCATCGAGTCTCCCCTTTTTCTTTTCAAGCAGCCGTGTCTGTCACTTATTTATCGTTAATATTGTTCTTCTCATTTTCACTTTTTATTATTTCTCGTTATTTTCCTCTTTTTTTTTTGTTATTCACCACTATCGTTAATATCGTGTCTGTTATTATTTTTTTACAAACATTCGCGTTGCACGAAGTAATTCATTTGTTGCTATTTACGGATCCTTGATTGCAAAAGCTCTGGCTTATGTTAGAACAAATGTCTCAGCGAGACTTTACCCTTCTTGTATATTGTTATTTTGTTTCGTAAGAACTTCGATGCTTTTATTGCCCTCGTTATGTCATCACGTTGTTTGGATTGCCGCCATTTTTCGCGATAAATGCGCGTGGTTATCTTCGAATCGTCCCCACTAACTGTGTAACTAGTTATTTCATTTAATTCACCTCCCTTGTTCTACACATATCGTTCGTGTATCGCTACGCTTCTGTAATTTTTCTACTGTTCTACAGAGTGCTCCGAAAAGAAAAAAAAAAAAAAAAGAACGACAAACAAGGGAGGAAATAACTGCAAATTTTCACTGAAAATTAATTAATCAATTCTTAATGGATCTCAAAATCTCTGAATACTACAATCTGTAAATCCAATGAATCATAGAATTAGATTCAAGATTATTCGAATGAATTCTAAGATCCATTTTGACATGCTAGAACTCACGTAAATTCACGAATCAACGAATCCCAATATCTCTGGAGTATAAGCGTGATGTATTCATCGATTAATAAACCTAAATCAACGAAACCGAAAATTCCTAAACACTGGAATCTATGGATCTTAACCTCTTGCGCTGGAATGACGTGCCACGTCCGGAATTTCTTGTCCCAAAATTGCAATATTTTCTCAGTTTTAAGTATATTTAAGTAAAACCCGGGCGAAACAGATAATAAATTTATTACTTCTTAATAATTTCTATCCAACGATATCGTACCGACGAGTTCAAAAGAAAAAGAAAGCGACGAATTCTTGTATACGGGTTCGGTCACTCGTTATGGTCCGCAATCGGTTGCCAGCGCAAGTGATTAACCTCGTGCCACGCGCGTCGGGA